CCCCCCCCCCCCCCCCCCCCCCCCCCCCCCCCCCCCCCCCCCCCCCCCCCCCCCCCCCCCCCCCCCCCCTCCCCCCCTCCCCCCCCCCCCCCCCCCCCCCCCCCCCCCCCCTTTTCCTTGAATTTCCGCATCCCTCTCCACCTCCTTTCCACCTATTCATCAGGCAGAGTAACAGACTCGATCGACAGTGCAACGCATATAATACACTCATACACGACTCCCGACACTGAAGAAACAGACGATGAATGGTTTCGAACGCTCGAGAAAAGAAACGGCCAAGTGTTTGTTCATTGGTGGTACTACCCTGATTCATATGATCAATGGATACCAGAAACAGACGACCAGGCTGATCCCGAACCAGCCCCCGATCACACTGGACCTTGGAACATCAGCGCTCGATGGCTACGCGAAAGCGAATTTTTCAACGAATGGATGAACGAAGAAGATTACGAAATTGACGGGAACGACAGAAGACTATCTGCTGGTGAAGATCAAACAACGACCTTTCTGGATGCGGGTTCGCTATACAAGCGCACCCACGATTCGTATGTTGATCAGGCGACGTCTGAGATGGACGTCGATATTCAACCCGGAAATCCGACCGCGAAACGGGCACGGAAAAAGTCGCCAGAGCCGGATGCGGTGCCCACGCACAAAAGTCTTAAACTTGTAAATATAGAAGAAAACGCTCCTAAAGTTGGCGTGCGCGGGCGAAAGAACGAGTTCGAGCCGATACATGGTGGTGACATTTCAAATATAAGTCAAGAGATTCCTGGAAATATTTCAACTGTGAGTCAGGACAAGCAAGACAATGACAGTTCTGATGTTGATAATTTGGTTAGCAATTTGAATGAAGCTCGTTTGGCTCCTGACAATACTACAAATGGTACGATTCTTTTTTGTCAATAAGCTGAAATTTTTGTATACTCCGTTTTCATGCAATCTCTTACGTTTGTTTTTTAAAAATCAGTGATGGACATTGATCATTCGGAGCTTGACCAAGCCGATCTCACAGCTTCTGGCCTAACTCCGCAGAATTCTACATCCGCCATCAGCAAAGAATCTGAAGATCCCGACTCTGCCGCAGAACCCACTTCTGACTCCAAGGCAATGGACGACTCTGGTGCAGCTTCTACACCACAACCCGATAGCGCCAACACAGAAGCCAGCATGGCTAATGCAGAAGCTGAAAAGAGACGTCTCGAGGAAGAGGCAAGAAAGTACCTGTCCCAGCAGACGCAAGAGGTTATCATACCCTCGTATGCGGCGTGGTTTGACATGGCGCGAATACACGAGATTGAAAAGAGATCTTTACCGGAATTCTTTAATAGTAAAAATAAATCAAAGACACCGAGCGTTTACAAGGAATACAGAGATTTCATTATCAATACTTATCGTTTGAATCCGAGTGAGTACTTGACTGTCACGGCGTGTAGAAGGAATCTAGCCGGAGATGTTTGCGCTATTATCAGAGTGCACGCGTTCTTGGAACAGTGGGGTTTGATTAACTATCAGGTAATTCAGCAACGATTTTTTTGAAAAATTTCGTACTATCCGGCTCTTTTTATACTTTATTTTATTCACGAAAACCCCATATTTTCAATCCACTCAATATCACTTACCCAGATCGATCCAGAAACCCGTCCATCGACAATTGGACCAGCTTTTACCGGCCACTTTCGCGTTACTGCTGACACGCCGCGTGGTCTACAACCGTTCCAACCTGTAATACCAACCATGGCTGGCTCAAGCTCTCAGCAGGCTGCCATTCCTGGTCCTTCTTCAGTCTCTCGTCTTGTTCCAAATCCGGCCGCCATGCCACCGCCCACAAAGGTGGATCTCAACCTGGGTCTCAGAGAGAATATATATTCAACCGTAGAAACACCAAGCGAAACACGACCATCCGAAAAAGCCCCAGCGGGAACCGGTCCAGTCGAAGGTGCAAAACACTACAATTGCTTCACATGCGGAGTAGATTGTACACGTGTCAGGTACCATAATCTTAAAAGCAAAAACTTTGAATTGTGTCCCAATTGTTATCTCGACGGCCGATTTCCCTCTGACATGTTTTCGGGCGATTTTGTAAAGATGGATGAAGCCGTATTCAAACACGCCCAAGATGAGGAATGGAGCGAACAGGAGACTCTCTTGCTTTTAGAAGGAGTGGAAATGTTTGACGATGATTGGAACAAAATAGCCGATCATGTTGGAACTCGTACACGTGAACAATGTATTTTGCACTTTTTACAGTTGCCGATAGAGGAGCCTTATTTGGGTACTTCGATGTCAGATCTAGGAGCATTGAATTACCAGAGAATACCTTTCAGTCAGGCGGACAATCCAATAATGTCTGTAGTAGCTTTTCTGGCGTCAGTGGTGAATCCGGGCGTGGCTGCTGCTGCAGCGCAGTCATCTTTGAAAGAGTTAGCAGCCGCACTAAAGCGTGACAAAGATAAAAAAGAGACTAATGGAATTAATGGATCCGATAATGAAGAAGTTCCCACCACCACAATGACAACCACGACAACGACAACCACCACGACAACCACCACTACAACGACATTGGGCGCTCCATCACCGGCTGTTAAGCAAGAAAGTGCCATGGACGTCGACCAACCGTCTACCTCTGCCGCCTCCAACGCAAATCCATCGTCACAAGAATCATCGTCCGATCAATCTACAATCGCTCGCTCGACTCTAGAAAAAGCTGGCGCCGCAGCCCTTGGTTCAGCCGCAGCCAAAGCAAAACAGCTAGCCGATTACGAGGAACGCGAGATACAACGTTTGGTGAACACGGTGATCGATGCACAGCTAAGGAAACTCGAATTGAAACTATCACAATTTGAAGAACTCGAGGCTCTTCTCGATGCAGAGCGAAAGGAAATAGAAAAGCAACGACAACAGCTCTTTAACGATCGATTACTTCTTCGCAAAAATATCCTGCAAATACAAGATCAATTAAAGCATTCTGGAATTAACCCTGTTGTAGGACACAGTTATGCTTCGAGCTCGGGATCGAGAATTATAAGTAGCGCCGAATATGCTGCGGCTCAACAAGCGGCCAGCAGTATACAGGATCCAAGCATGTCATACGGAAATGTTCCGGGAACATCTGGTTCAGTAGGCGGAGATAATCTCCAGTTGTAACATTTTTTTTTTTTTAAAAAAAGAATAATGTACTGCTGTCAGTTGTACAAAGGTTACCCCCCAACTCTCACTATTCGAAAAAAAAAATTATAAAAACAAGAGTCGTTTCTTATCATGTCATTAGTACAATGTCTCGTCTTTTAAAATAAAATATTCACTTTATAAATACATGGCAATCAATTTTATATGAAGCGATTGGATTTTATAAATTGCACCATCTGCAGGTGACACGAACGAGCAAACTTGCGAAATAATAATCACTAACACGCAGAAACAAGATATCTCGTCGAACCATTATTACTTCCCCACAAACGTTGGAGGATCGAGTAGCGTGTAGTGAATAGTGAATAGTTGAACGCTCAATACTGATATCAAGTGTCATACACAAGATGTATATCGGGGCGAGCCTGCACTTTTCAGAAAAAAAATAAAACTCATACTCGGAAATGATCATAGTAAATAGTGTAAATGTCTGTTATTATCCGCTTCTTCCCTTGAATCAGTTGTTGTGTATGCAGCAACAAGCATTTAACGCAAGTTTAGGAAATCTTTCGACGACAGATTTTTTACGCGCACAATAAACGACCGAGTCTTTTTTATTTTTAGGCAATATCACATTTAGCGTAGGCATTGCGTTATACGCTTTCCCGTTGTTCTCTATTCAAATATCGAATACGTATTATAGTCCTGTCGAAAGTGAAGGACTGATGTCTGGTTTTTGTTATACAGTAAGAGTGAGAAAAGTCAACATGATAAGAACAACCGTTTAACATGACATCGCTGTTCTCTTTTACGTTCAATATTAGTCTGTTTGCCAGTAGTTTCCGTACAGAATTGTGTCATTGAGTTGTTTCATGTGTCTTTAATTAATGTGCGGCAGGTGCAATAATGATAATAATCACCATACGCGTCCGAAAAATAAGCACCCTCCAAAATTTAATAATATTCGAAAAATAGTCACTTTTTTTTCAATTTAGGCAGCCATTTTCATACGGTAAATTGTAATCACAGTCAAGCTTGGCTTGGTAATTTTTTTATTATCGGAAATTTCTTATAACAAAGCTTCCAGATCGTTAGAGACCGACGACTTTTATTAATGCAATTTAGTTAAATTCATAGAACAACGCATAGAGCGACAATTCGATGATGAAATTCCACAAACTTTTAATAGGCTATTCAATATATTCCTTAACATCATAACGATAACGAATATAACGAATTACACGTATGGTGGTAGTAATAACCTGTTTATAATGACATATAAGAAAGATTATTCCAGTCCATCGGCGATAGAGCACGATGATAATGAGGTGAGAGTGAGGAGAGAGAAAGTATGAGGAAGAGGCGGGATCAATTACTATGTAAGAATGTGTGAGGATAAAAAGGTGAAACGTTTGAAATGAGAAATAGTATTTGTGCTTCAGTTTACGATGTACACGTAACAACGTTGCGAGAGTGTCTTTCTGCGAGCTTTGGCGGAAGGCTCCAGATATGTGTATATCGATCATTTCTTAACTCTTTTCTATGATATTACACGTGATGCGCAACCTGTAATGCATCTGGAAATGGAAACGGAAACATAAACCACATATAAAAAAGACTATAATGACTTGACAAAGAAGTCAAAATACAATCGCAAACAACGAATTGCGCGGATGTGATGTACTACTGTCCTTATTGAAACGGCTATTGCGGTTAGCAGATGACGACTATTGATATCTTGCTAACCGAAGATATCCTAGTTTTTGTTGCTGACCTGCCCAATAGAGAAGAGAGTTCTTAATTCACCATCCATCCCTGTCATCTTGCGATCTATCTTCATAACAATTTCTTTTATAGCTACTGTACATGTCATCTTGTTTGCTGTATTGCAACAGACATTTATCCCGGATCGTAATCAAATACTCCGTCTAATGATTGGTTCATTTCCAATTGTATTACATCACACAAGGATAAACATAAAACGAGTGATTCATATTAATATCAATATTTACTGTTCTGAACTTCTCCAGGAAACTAAACTAAAATACAGTGACTAGTGTTGAGATATAAGAAGTATATTAGTATTAGATGGACTTGTCAGGAAACAACGGAGTAAGTTTGGCATTCAATAAGCTTCTTTCAATTTTCCACATCATTGAAATGAATTAGCTGCAACTTGAAAATACAACTCACTTTAATACCCTATAACCAGAAAATTGGTCAGCAATCCTCATCAGGTACAAAAAACAAAGGGAAGGGAAAGCAGCTTGATAATGCAGAGACTGAAGATGTATTTGATATTGAACAAGATTTCATTGTCTTTGAAAGTGACAGTGATAATGATGATGATTACCATGTACATGGGCAGATATTTACAACACATCTTAATCTGAGCAAGGTTGAATTAAATGAGCAACTATCTACAACTTTGGAGTCAAGTAATGACAGAATCAGTCATCTTATTAAATTATCCAATCTGTTGCAATTATTTGGCAATAGGTTAGAGGGCACCCAGTTGAGAAATGTTTTGGAAACAATTGGGATTTATGTCACATATAAGGACTATGAAGTGACTGCTGATGTTGAATTGGAACTGTACCTTAGGGCGTATGTATTAGTTTTAGAAACATATGGCAAGCGACTTGTTAAGATGGAGACAGAGTTACTTGAAACCTTGCATAAAAATCTTGCAAAATTGTATGACATCCATCAGCATTATACCAAAATTATAGAAAAAGGCTTACAATGTTCAAGGGTTTTGTTTGTTACTTCAGAGGAAAGTGTTAAAGTTCAAAATTACAACAATGATTTTTTACTAATGCAACTTTACAATTCTCTTCATTTGATGGATGATGTAGATGAGAAGGCTGCTTGGATCGAAATTATAAAGCAACTAAAGGCTCTTTTTGCTGCACTTGTTGAAGCTTTACTATTACCTGATATGACAATGACTGGTGCTATGACAGCTATGGAAACACCAATTGATAACAACGCCACTTCTGAAATCTATGATAGTATTCAAAAGGCTTTACAATCCAAGTTTTCTACAGGGCATTGGTACAAGGAATGGAGATATTTATATACTGTTTATCAAGCATTTGTTGAATGGTCAGCTGCTCCAATTAATAGAAACTTGGTTGC